GTGGGCACGTACTGCACTCATTGGTGGGCACGTACTGCACTCATTGGTGGGCAAGTACTGCACTCATTGGTGGGCACGTACTGCACTCATTGGTGGGCACGTACTGCACTCATTGGTGGGCACGTATTTCACTCATTGGTGGGCACGTACTGCACTCATTGGTGGACACGTACTGCACTCATTGGTGGGCACTACTGCACTCATTGGTGTGCACGTATTTCACTCATTGGTGGGCACGTACTGCACTCATTGGTGGGCACGTACTGCACTCATTGGTACGCACGTACTGCACTCATTGGTGGGCACGTACTGCACTCATTGGTGGGCAAGTACTGCACTCATTGGTGGGCAAGTACTGCACTCATTGGTGGGCACGTACTGCACTCATTGGTGGGCACGTATTGCACTCATTGGTGGGCACGTACTGCACTCATTGGTGGGCACATATTTCACTCATTGGTGGGCACGTACTGCACTCATTGGTGGGCACGTATTTCACTCATTGGTGGGCACGTACTGCACTCATTGGTGGGCACGTATTTCACTCATTGGTGGGCAAGTACTGCCGACTATGGCATGTTTACTGCAGACGCAGGTGTTGGTGTTGATCCTCAGCTCTTCATCAAGGTGGCTCTTCACAAAATGAATCCACCTCTTGATATCATAGTTTTTTGGAAATTTAAATAAGGAGATCGAGCTGTTTTGTAAATTATCGCAACCAGGTAATATGCTTTTTATGTGACGAAGGCATAGCTAGCTAGCAAACTGTAGGCTATAGTAACTAACACTAATGACAGTAACTCACGATTGAGCGTGTAAACAACTGATGCTAATGCGCTCTACTTATAGGGTTAGGAGAGGGGCCATGATCAGTGGTTCCAGGGTGTCATCGACGCATCGGGGGGTTTGGTCCAATAAACAGAATCTCTGTTTTTTCTGAATTAAGTAGTAGGAAATTACTAGGCATCCATTTTTTTAAATCACCTATGCATTCTGATAATTTTGTGAATTGGTAAGTTTCGTCAGGGCGTGCAGAAATATAGAGCTGAGTATCATCAGCATAACAGTAAAAACTAATCCCATGTTCCCTAATGATATCTCCTAAGGGTAGCATGTACAGAGTGAACAGCAATGGTCCTAGTTCTGAGCCTTGTGGTATGCCATACTGAACTTGTGATCGAGAAGACATCTCTTCATTTACTGCTACAAACTGATAACGGTCAGATAAGTGTGATTTAAACCATGCTAATGCAATTCCACTAATGCCAACATAATTTTCGAGACCATTTAAAAGAATGTTGTGGTCAATAGTATAAAATGTAGCACTAAGATCGATTAACACTAATAGAGAGATACAACCATGTTCGGATTATAAGAGCAAATCATTTGCCTTTTCTAGTATCTTTGACAGAAAAGCTAGATTCGAGATCGGCCTGTAATTGACTTATTCTGTAGGATCAAGTTGCGTTATTTTTAATAAGCAGTTTCATAATAGCCAGCTTAAAAGTTTTAAGTTATTAAGAAGAGGATCTATGACTTCTGGAAGCATCTCTTTCTGTAACATAGTCCAGGGGTTTTTAAACTGTGGGTCGCAGATTGGGAAGAGGTGGGTCGCGCAATCACTATATTGGCTGCAGCTGAATTTACGTTTCATGAGTGACACATACTAAACAGGTTGCACGATGAAACAACGTTAAATAGAAATCGCTATATTGCTTAGAGCAATTTAAAGTTAGATAAATATGTCAGTATTGTGTTTCATGAAGTGCGCACGTGCGACTTGTTGTGATAACAATTTTCACCGTCTCAGAGCGGCTTCGGTTCATTAAGCAGTTTGGTGCGCATTATTACTAGAAGAAACTCGTTTACTCCAATCACTGCACTGCATTCTGCATGAGATCGCATTACACCGGAGAATTCAAATGTTACGAAAGGCTGATTCAGGTCTGGGCTGCGTTTCCCAGAAGCATCGTGAGCTAAGTTGATTGCAGAGACCATTGGTGGCAATGGTTCTACGATCTACTTAGGCATACGATGCTTTTGGGAAACGCATTAATCTCTGTCGTCTGTTCAACACAGCGCTGTTGTCTTTCAGAGATATGGTCGTCGTAAGAGTTCATTGTTTTGTGGTCCCTTGCATGCATTTTGATACCTACCAACGCATAAGGAAAATATATATGTAAAAAGTATTTAAAATGTATACACACGAGGACGAAAGCGTTTTCTGCGCTGAACAACGCAATGAGTTTAACACTCGCAGCATAAATATTAGTATTGAAATTCTAGGTCCTGGGCATACTGTCAAATAAAATTATTCGTCTAATAGTTTTTTTATATTCTGATTTTTTGTCATATCAAACCTTTGGTTAAGATTAAAGGGATACTTCACCTCTGGAAAGATGAATGTGTATTCATCAGAATGCACTTGCTTCGCTGCCCTAGAAGGCCACGCCTACCGGTAACGGAGCACTGTAGTTAAACTACAAGTCTAGGCTACTAGTGAGTCTCCGTGATGAGTCTGCCCGGGATTATGAGATCGTCCAAAATGTCCGGGATTCGGCTTTTGCGTTCTACAGTCGCCATTCATCATGTTTACTGTGGCGAGCAGGACGAGCCCGGTGGCGTGATTACCGATGAGCGACACCTCTGAGCCGCACCGGTCTCGTATCTCTCACGGAGGAGCGGGAATTTTCTTAGCAATGTTAAAACGCACATCAACCGATCACTTGTTTAGCGTTCATGTAAACACTACATTCAGATTCACCAATCGGAATGAATTCAGTTAGATTGAAACAAAAGGTGTGCACGTAAACAATGAATGGCGACTGCAGAAAGCAAAAGCTGAATCCCGGACATTTTGTACGATCTTGACGGCCGGACATGTCCGGGAAAAAGAGGATGAATGGTAACCCCTACTACTCAGCTTTCTCCACAGAACAAGAGCCTGCTATCTTAGCTTCCAAAAGAAGATGTCTGACACTATGTGTACATTCAGTGAGTGAGATCCCACCCTCTATGGGCGGTTGAGAACATGCGGAACAGCCCCTACTACTGGCTGTAGTCTTTAGCCTCTGGCCAAAAAATCCTCCGATGACGCAATATGACGATTTTTGCGTCATTGGAGGATTTTTTCCAGACAAAAAATACATAAATCTCTCGTCTCAGGGGGATATGAGGGTGGAAAGCATGGTCATTTGAAAATACTACAGGTTTTCTACTAATACAAAGCTTAATGCTAAATCCTGAAGTATCCCTTTAAGCTTACTTAATCTTTTTCATTTCTTTAAATTTGTTTTGCCATGTTTGGGTAAATCAGTTGAGGCAGCAGACAAAAACTCAGTATTCTTCACATTATTTCAACAGCCATTAGGCTACTATTTTAATTCTCAAACTTTTTGATAATGTACCATAAATTTGTATTGCAATTAAACTCATATGTCATACTATGACAAGGAAAAAAAAACTGCTCTAAAGAGAACTAATGCCTCCCACCCCACATTCATTCTTTAAAATTATTTTGGTGGGTCTTGAGATAGATTATTCTTGTCTACGTGGGTCCTGGAATGGAAAAGTTTGGGAACCCCTGACATAGTCGGTATACGGTCTAACATACATGTTGTTGATTTAGATGATTTAACGAGTTTAGAAAATTCTTCCTCTCCTATGGCAATGAATGAATCGAATTTTTCCTCAGGGAGACTACAACGCACTGTCTGATGCGATACTGTAGTAGAGGGATGCATAGTTATAATTTTATCTCTAAAATTATCTGCTTTTGAATAAAGGGATCGTATATTTAGCAACCTGAAATGTATCATTTGTTCATCTGTTTTATATCTATTTATTTGTTGAACATCGATTCCATTTTTACCCTAAAAATGGGTTTGGGAGTTTTTTGTGTTTCCTAATTCGGGGAACAGACACAGTCTCTATATGATGATATCTAGGTGAAAGAGTCTCTATGTGATGGGATTTATCTGACCTCAGTGACGTGAGACAGCTGGCAGACAGTCGTTTAGCCAGTCTGTCTGCTTCTGACCTGAGCCCCAGATTGTCATGTTTGAGCTCTAAGAATATGTGCCATTTTACTAGAGAGAAGAGCAGCACCAGCCCAGGAGGGATGAATACCATCTCTTTTCAACAGGTCAGGTCTGCCCCAAAAACTTTTACAATTGTCTATGAACCCTATATTATTCTGCGGACACCACTTAGACAGCCACCCATTGAGTGAGCACAGTCTACTAACTATCTCATCACTCCTGCGAACAGGAAGGGAGCCAGAGCAAATTACAGTGTCTGACATCGTACTTGCGAGTTCACACACCTCTTTAACATTAATTTTAGTGATCTCTGACTGGCGAAGTCAGACATATTTAGCACTGCATATTTACAATGCTATCGGCTCTGGCAGTTAGAAGATATTTAAATAAATGTTATATTCATTTAATAAAAAATAGTTATTTTATTAATAAAATAAAGTCATATTTTTTTAAATAATTGCTACAAAGGAAACAGACATCGAAAACCATAGACATAATGGTCTTCTTAATTAATTGTTCGAACTTCCGGGTAAAGCCTCGCCCACTTCAGGTTTTATACGAATAAAGATACGAATCATTTTGAGATTGTTACAGATACAAATATTGGCTCCGCTGCACACCCCTAAACTACACTGTTGTCACGGACATGGCTGGTAGACGGCAAGCTTTTTTGCATACCACTTTGGTGTTAAAAACTCCCCCTATAGAAGAAGCTCTAGTACTCTACTTCATAGCAACAACATTTAAATGAAGCAGTGTGGAAATCAAGTTTGACCTCTAACTGGGTAGACACTGGGTAGGTATCAAAATTATACCCTTTGTTTTTTTGATAAGTTAGAGCCTATCAGAACCAACAGGATAATAAATAGCTATTAATTAATAACTGTTAGCTACCTGAATTTGAATCTAGGCAAAAATCTGTTTATATAATAATCTCATGATAATTTCTCCTTTTCTTAGCTTCAGGTTTTTCAGGACTATGGAGGAGCGTTTTTTACAACGTCCAAATTTTGCAATGAGGTACCAGAGGCATCATAGAGGTCCGTGGACCAGCTTACAGCTGAGCCGTAGGCCCAGAGCCTCTCCTCCTCCCAGACATCGGTTCAATAAAGGCCTGGACAAGAGTTCCTTCACAGCACTTAGACAACACATCAAACCAGGCACCACAGGTTAGCTGCATTGTGTGTATCGGTTTGTTGCTAATGGTTCAACTGATTTTTACATACAGTGCATAAATGTCCTTGGATCCGTCTTAAAACTAGGAGGTAGTGATATAGCCTTCTGCATTCTCATCACTGTAGCTTTACAGAATTCCTCGATCATAGGAGGAGTGTGTGTAAGGCTGGGCCACGAGTCGGAAATCAACGGGGACTTGGGCCAAAAGTGCCTATGCACAATAAAATTAAATCTAGTAAAAAAAAAAATGTAAATGAAATTAAAAGTGTCGATTGCAGCATTACATTTAGATCTGCTCGTGTTGCATCATACTTTTTACACGTTTTACAGCATTTCACATTATAACCAATCAAACTCAATTCTGTTGAGCTTATGATTGCAATGGCCAATCAGGTGTTGGGATTAGTCATCACTGAAACGCTGGAGTTTTGTTCAATGCGTGCGCTCGCTGACTGAATTCAGCACTCTCACAACATAAACAAGTGCAGATGTATAAGTAAGAGATTCATTTCACAGTGTAGACGCTTCAGTGATTACAACAGGAGTATTTTTGACAGTGCATAAACTCGCGCTAGTCAGTGATAATGTTCTTTGATGTAAATGTTCTTTATTCGCTTTATATGGCTTAATGTATGCTCTGTTTGAATAATTGTGGAAATTAATATGTTATAATCGACTTACAATTTTTATTTTTTTTACATTGCGATTATGTTAAATACAATGTGTCCAGTTGTATTAACCCTTGTGCACTGTTCGATTTCTGGTTACAGCCTGTATCAGAGGTGGGAGACTCGAGTCATATGACTTGACTCAAGTCAGACTCGAGTCGCAATTTTCTGGACTTGAGACTTACTTGACTAGATCTCTGAAAAGACTCGACTTGACTTTAGACTTGATCCTTGTGACTTTAGACTTAACTCGGACTTGTGCCTATTTACTTGAAATGACTTGTGCAAAAAAAAAAATCTCAATTATTGTAATTTTTTGTATACGCCATAAGAGGGAGCGCGGGCGGTAATGCACTCTGTGTGTGCGGGTTGAGGGAGAATAAAGCGTTGAGCGATGTAGCCAATTACAGACATATGTGTTGTTTTCTTGAACGCAATGGCCAATCAGAAGCATTTACGATAGACTTCCCTCACCGCTCAAAACAGACTTTTTGTTCAGTGCTGAATTCTGTATGCTGGCTAATCCTCTAATTATAACAAACAAACTGTATATATTATGAAACGTCATTGATAATAACAGATGTGTGAGATCGCGATGAACTGTCAGCTTTTTAGGAATTATTAAGGGAGCGCAGTCATGCCAAACCATGCACGCAGGAGCTGCTTGCTTTTATGTTATAACAATGGTTTGTGTGTTAATGCTTTAATAACAAATAATTTATCAGGAGCATTTATCCTGATGTTTATGGTGGCGACACGTAGGCTAAATTGAAAGTATTTGGATGTACAGAAAAAAGTCTATTTGCGGGCGGGAGCGGGACGAAACATAAATGTTGCGGGCGGGAAAAAGTAATATAGAAAGTAGTTGAGAACGTCAGTTACAACGACCCACGTATTAAAAAATAGCCGGGTTTAAATAATTTAAATGTTTAAATTTGTTTTCTTAAAATTTCCATATAATATTTTGTGTTATGGGATCAAATCACCTGGATATTTAGAGTAAGAACATACAAACTTTGGCATACAGTACTAATTTAGAATGCAATATATATATATATATATATATATACACTCACCGGCCACTTTATTAGGTACCCCATGCTAGTAACGGGTTGGACCCCCTTTTGCCTTCAGAACTGCCTCAATTCTTCGTGGCATAGATTCAACAAGGTGCTGGAAGCATTCCTCAGGGAGTTTGGTCCATATTGACATGATGGCATCACACAGTTGCCGCAGATTTGTCGGCTGCACATCCATGATGCGAATCTCCCGTTCCACCACATCCCAAAGATGCTCTTTTGGGTTGAGATCTGGTGACTGTGGAGGCCATTTTAGTACAGTGAACTCATTGTCATGTTCAAGAAACCAATTTGAAATGATTAGAGCTTTGTGACATGGTGGAAGTAGCCATCAGAGGATGGGTACATGGTGGCCATAAAGGGATGGACATGGTCAGAAACAATGCTCAGGTAGGCCGTGGCATTTAAACGATGCCCAATTGGCACTAAGGGGCCTAAAGTGTGCCAGGAAAACATCCCCCACACCATTACACCACCACCACCAGCCTGCACAGTGGTAACAAGGCATGAGGGTTCCATGTTCTCATTCTGTTTACGCCAAATTCTGACTCTAACATCTGAATGTCTCAACAGAAATCGAGACTCATCAGACCAGGCAACATTTTTCCAGTCTTCAACTGTTCAATTTTGGTGAGCTCTTGCAAATTGTAGCCTCTTTTTCCTATTTGTAGTGGAGATGAGTGGTACCCGGTGGAGTCTTCTGTTGTTGTAGCCCATCCGCCTCAAGGTTGTGCGTGTTGTGGCTTCACAAATGCTTTGCTGCATACCTCGGTTGTAACGAGTGGTTATTTCAGTCACTGTTGCCCTTCTATCAGCTCGAACCAGTCTGGCCATTCTCCTCTGACCTCTGGCATCAACAAGGCATTTCCGCCCACAGAACTGCCGCTCACTGGATGTTTTTTCTTTTTCGGACCATTCTCTGTAAACCCTAGAGAGGGTTGTGCGTGAAAATCCCAGTAGATTAGCAGTTTCTGAAATACTCAGACCAGCCCTTCTGGCACCAACAATCATGCCACGTTCAAAGTCACTCAAATCAACTTTCTTCCCCATACTGATGCTCGGTTTGAACTGCAGGAGATTGTCTTGACCATGTCTACATGCACTGAGTTGCCGCCATGTGATTGGCTGCTTAGAAATTAAGTGTTAACGAGCAGTTGGACAGGTGTACCTAATAAAGTGGCCGGTGAGTGTATATATATATACAAGATGGGAAAAGTTTTATTAATTCTTGTTTACTTGTGTTCATTTAATTTATTTTTTTATTAAAGCATTTAAAGTGCTTCTTAATGATATGATATTATATTTTAAGTTAATTTATTTATTTTTGTAACCCATTAGCCCTTTGTGTTTAAATAAAGTAATAAAAGTCCCAGAGTTAAAAAATGTGTATACAACTAGCCTGTGTGCGACTTGGTATGACTTGATGACTAAGTTGCGACTTGACTTGTCTTGACAAAGAGGATGACTTGACTTGACAAAGAGGATGACTTGACTTGACTTGACAAAGAGGATGACTTGACTTGACTTGACAAAGAGGATGACTTGACTTGACTTTTACAACAGAATGACTTGACTTTGACTTGCAATGTTAAGACTTGGACTTGAGACTTGCATTTAGTGACTTACTCCCACCTCTAGCCTGTATGGTACGGGTAAAAGTGAACCTAATTGAATTCAACACAATTCCCCAAAATTCACACTCTGAAAAAAAAAACACACCTTACAATCAGGTACAAATAATTAACTTTTAATATCAATACTTTTCACACATTACAAAGAATAAATATATGAATTTGGGATTCATAAAAATGTTTTTAACCACTATTTTTAAAACGGCCCCTACCCGACACCCATGGGACACTTAACATTATACATTGAATTCATTGTGCTTTTGTATTTTAAAGTATTTAACACCTTTGTAATATAAATCAAAAAACAAAACAAACATTCATCTAAGAAAATACATAATTGAACATAACCCCATTCAGGCATGAGTCCACACTGGATTACAATAATCTTCTTATAGAGATCAGATCACAGATGAACACTGTCAGGAGCCTTAATGGTTAGCGTCCATATAAAGAATCTAGTCCACATTCCAGAACAAGTATCAAGGAACATATATAGTCCAAATGAATAATCAGTTCATATGAGTATTCATGATGAAGTAGGCCTTACACTTTACGATACTCAGGGCTGATGATCGGCACAGCCCATGCACCCACAAACGAAAACCCTCTATGTACAAACAAGATTAAATGATAATCAGACCAAACAGAAAACATGACATATACATACACAACCCAAGCAACAAAACCAAACCATCACTTACATTGAGTTGAAAGAACAATGATGTTCCTCAAAATAGGGCAAACAGTGGCTTGAACAGAGATGAAATATTAGCCCTGCTACGGCACATGGCTACAAACTTACTCACTCCTAAAGTAGAAAGCTAGCAATGGTTACCTTGTTAACTTCCCCCTAGTGGCAGGGAGGAAAACTACCAGAGGAACAGTTGCACCTAACTGATGCAACCTCAGGATGGGCATCCCGAGATAAAAAAGAAAAGCAAATAGAAAATTATTAGCGTAGCTGCTGTTCATAAAATTAAGCAAAGATAATCATGTGCATTTGATCTGATATAACTGGAGTATAATGTTAGGAGATGCATTATATGAATGCATGGCTAAAGAAATGCGTCTTTAATCTAGATTTAAACTGGGAGAGTGAGTCTGAGCCCCGGACATTATCAGGAAGGCTAATCCAGAGTTTAGAGCTAAATGTGGACACGCTCTCCCTCCTTTAGTGGACTTAGATATTCTAGGTACTTCCAGAAGCCCAGAGTTGTGTGACCTTAAGGGTTAGTTCACCCCAAACTGAAAATTCTGTCAGTAATGACTCTCCCTCATGTTGTTCAACCCCGGAAGACTTTAGTTCATCTTCGGAACACAAATTAAGATATTTTTGATTAAATCTGAGAGCTGGATCAGTCCTCCATAGGCTTCTAAGGGATTGAAACCTGCCGGCCCAGAAAAGTTAAAGACATTGTTAAAATAGTCCGAGTGACTACAGTGGCTCAATCTTAAGTTCATCAAGCGACGAGAATACTTTTTGTGCACAAGAAAACAAACAAAAATAATGACTTTATTCAACTATTCATTTCCTTCTCTATTTTTTATTTCCTAATCTATTTCCTTCTCATTTCCTAATTTTTTTTTATTAATTTGACACACTACCTTTGATTAT